AAGAGTGTGTTTGTTGGGGACTGTTTTCAGCTGCAGATTAACCCACATTTGGTCTCTACTTTGTATTTGTGACAGCAGGCAGCCAGTGCAGAAGTCTGGCTCACTGACAGTTGGACAACAATGGAGCTCTATGACACAGGGTTTTTCTTTTTAATAGCGTGTAGCCAGATGCCCTTTTAATTTAAAGCTCCTTGCTGAAAGAACAGACCTCAAACATGTAATCAGCACCACACTGTAAAACCAGTGACTGGGCATATAAAGGACTGAGATGTCTGGTTTTGGATACCAACAGAATACCTGCTGGTAGGATTGTGTTAGATTTTGATCTCTTCATGGCAACACTGATATCAGCCTTTGTCCATTGTCCTTGTATGCTTTTATTTTGGAATCATGCTTTTTACACTGTGTCAAGGAGGAGGAACAGCCAGATGTCTGGGTGATGATGATGGACTCTCCTCTGCGGCGTCGCATGTTGACCCAGTGCGTTCATGACAGTGTCAGTGTGTGGTTGACTGCTGCACTCAGACTGTGGAAGGAGACTGTGTCGGTAGAGCCAATCAGGAAAAATAAGTTCACCTGTTTCCAGGATGCTTCATTATGCCTGAATTAACCCCAGAGGTCGAAGCATAAAAGCAAAGTGGCAAGAGTTGTCAGAAGCCATATTCAAATAATGTTATTGTAGAGGAAATCAGTCAGTTTCATGTTGGTGCTCTAGGATCTACTGTGGTCCTGGCTGTGGCTTGCGTTATTACTTTGCCTTTGGTCAGGTGTTCACACTGTAGCCTCCAGTGCAGTAGCAGATACTGTCTGATCTCAGAGCTCAGACTCAGCAGTACCACAGTGATAACGTAGTATATTACAAGTAAAGGCCCGGCGTTAAACAAATGTAGCGAGCTCTCAGTAACAGACCTTCAGGCTTTAGAAGTGAGCAAGAAGTGAAATGTTACAGTCTTTGTTTCGGCAAGTGTCCATAAAGAGAGCCATGTGGTGTGGTTACTGTAACAGACATGAGAGCTGTGTGTGTGTCTTTGTGTGTTCCTCATGTCTGTCCAGGCTGCAGCTTCATGAGTCTACTATTAGGCTGACCTCTATTGTGTCGGTGTAACCCATGCTGTTTTTCCCCTGTGCATCTCTCCAGGTGGAGCGGGAGATAGCTATCCTGAAACTCATCGAGCACCCCCACGTCTTAAAGCTGCATGACGTTTACGAAAACAAGAAATACCTGTAAGTACGCATGTCCAGGTGTTTGTCCAGATGTTGCATTCACACCGTGAGCGATCACATCAGCTCGTTTAAGTTAAGAACCGAGATGCAACTTTATTCTTCGTTTTGACAATCAGTCATATTTCACTCGCCAACTTTATGGCTGTATTTTGTAATAGGCATGATTAAACCTTATTTAGAATCGACGATGGTTATCTCTGACTTGAATTTTGAATTTTGAACCTGTTCCTAAAATAGCGCCTGTTGATTTGTAATCCTAAGTGCACTTGCTGAGAAGGGGGTGAAGTCTGTGTGCACAGGTGGACGAGCTCCTCTCACTAGTCACCACAATAGTTATTTATGCCAGACGTCAGTAGGCCCCTGTCCTGGGAAACACCTACAGCGGCTTGACGCTGAGATCCTCTTTCCAAAACAGTTTGTCTGTTGCTTCTTCACACAAAAAGTGGGGACAGTTCAGATTTCAGCTGAAGTAACACTACTAATAAACAGTATGAAATCGAAATTGTTTAAATAACCCCCAAGCTGTGGGCACCTTCCCTCCATTCAGCTGTTGTGAGCTCAGGGATTTTATTAAGGCCTGAAATGTTTCTTTGGTCACCCTCATTTTATCCTGCCCCTGAGACTGTGCAGCTTTAATGTATATTTGTGTTTTATTATAGACATTAATCTGCTGTGCTCCAGTGGCACAGCTTAATGCACTGTTCAATAACTGATAAAGGTGCCTCTGTCAAACCAAGCAGGAATTAGTTTTCTTAATGTTGCCGGGACAGGGACAGATGCTCATCATGGATGCAAACAATTCGCCGCAGAAACTTTCCCACTCACAAATCACATGTGAACACGTTTCTAATTTAAATAGCTCTGACAGGTAAACGCTTCGGCAGATCCCTTAATCTGCTAATAAATCAGGCCGTGGGGAAGACAGGGGCCCGAGGGGCGGCTCTCATCGGAGAGCAGATCAGCGATGTCTCCGAGACAAATGGACGGAGGATCCAGATAAAACATCTTAAACCACAGGCGCACAAACGAGCACAAGCCGAGGATTTTCTCTGGGATTTAATATTCTGCATCGATGTTATTGGTGTTAACTTCAACACGTCGCAGCCAAATACTCTGTAGTTTATGACTCAGTTATTTCATTAATGCCTCTTTCAATTTGAGGGAAATGAAATGAGGATTTGCTTTGATGAATCAGTTTCAACTCTGTGGAAGGGTGAAAAGTATTTTTACCAAGTACTGTACAGGTTTCAGTCTCTTGTACCTTACTGAAGTATTTCTCAGAGACTTTCGAGACTTTCTGTTTTTTAGGGGAAAAAACTAAATATACAAGTATAAATACAATCATAGCCATTTGTCATTGTAGCAACGCTTCACTCCGCCTGCTACATCTAATCCAAAAATGGATAAAATCTCAAAATAATTTAAATGGGCAAGGTATAATAACGTTCACCCACATACAGTTGTCATGGAATGCGAAATTAGAGACCAAAACCATTTTTAATACCAGGCTGTAAACGTGAATTTCTACTGTAAAGTTACGCATTTTAACGGAGCGTTTGGGGGGCCGGATGGGGGTTTGGGCCTCCCGCCACAAGTAGAATCTACCTCTCTGGGAAACACTGCTCTCTGTAGTGCATTCATGCACTGGGTGAACATCTTTTAATCCAAAGTGATATTTTTTGGGAACTTAAAGAATGTATAGAATTTAAATCCCACGGTTAGCGCTGTCACCTCACAGCAAGACAGCTCCAGGTTTGAGCCCCGGCCGACCCGGGGCCTTTCTGTGAGGAGTCTGCATGTTCTCCCTGTGTCTGCGTGGGTTCTCTCCGGGTACTCCGGCTTCCTCCCACAGTCCAAAGACTTGCAGCATAGGTTGACTGGCGACTCTAAATTGCCTGTAGGAGTGTGTTTGGTTGTCAGTGCTGCGACAGAGTGGCGGCCTGTCCAGGGTGGGCCCCACCTCCTGCCCAGTGTCAGCTGGGATTGGCTCCAGCCCCCCCATGACCCCAATCAGGAATAAGCAGTATAGATATTAGATGGATGGATATAATGAACCATTCAGGAGGGGAGGTGTTACATGGTTAGGAAGGTTATAAGATGGGACTGAGTCTTGTGTCTCCTTGGTCCAGTGTTTATGCCTTTATGTTTTTGGAACTGAACCTGAGAAATAACTGATGTCTCATTGAATTCTTCAACCACCGTTCTCTCAGGTCGAACCTTAACCTTTCCAGTATCAGATAGTAAGTTTCACAGTTAGTGGCTTTCCTTTTGATACTCGAGTACATTTTACTGCTAATCACAACAGCACCACTTGTACCAGTAACTTGCCAAAGGATCTGAGATCTTCTTCCATCTTCTGCACAGGTATCTGGTGCTAGAACACGTGTCTGGTGGGGAGCTGTTCGACTACCTGGTGAAGAAGGGCCGTCTAACACCGAAAGAGGCCAGGAAGTTCTTCAGACAGATCATCTCAGCCCTGGACTTCTGCCACAGCCACTCCATATGGTGTGTTACTCTTACACCGAGGAAATGTGGGGGCAGAGAACGGTTGTTGTCATTCTGTTTGAATCAGCAGGTTGAGCTTGGGCAGTTTTATTACATGCAGCCCACACTCAGGGTGTGTATTTGGTTACTTGTGAATAATAATTATTTATAAACCTACTCTGTCTCACTAGTTGGATGTTTCCTTATTTTGTTTAGAATGTGATATTAAGAATTTGTGAGATGTTCTTAAGCCACTTTATGTTCTTTTATTTACCAAAAGACCAAATGGAGGTTTTCTGATGTAAAATGGGAGAAATGTGGCACAGCTGAAAAGTGCAGGCTCAAGAGTGGTGCAGGTATGGGAGGGGCAATGCACCTGATTCGTCGCTGCTGACTAACCACTGCAGCAGAGGCAGCAGAGGAAGCTGCATCTGAAATTGAAAGTCGAGGAGCAGCAGGTGCTCACTCTGCAGCGATGGTTCATCAGACACACACAGGCTGAAGCACGGACACGGACACAGTTTTAGTTCAGACAGTGAAAACACAGCAGGTCAGAACAGTGCAGCAAATGATGTCACTTCACAGACAGGACTTCATTCTTCTACCTTCACAGCAGCTCCGCTCCATCGTGCTATGCTCATACTAATAATGAATTACAACAGTCAAATGAGTGTGAAAGCTTTTTCTAACTTCCTCAGTCACTGATCTTTTTGTAGACATCAGGCTGTTTAACATTTCCTCAGCCTCCCTCGTGCCGGATGAACACACACCAGTGTTCCAGGTTCAGCAACAGAAACAACATTTTCTTGGATGATATGCTGCTCTCCAGACATCATGTGTGTTTAGTGGTAGTCTTAGTAAATACTCAGCTAAACTGAACAGCTGTAGTGAAGATAAATACCACTGGCAGTCATTTGCATAAAGCTCAGTAAACATCTCCCATAGTGTAGAATAAATACACAATAGAAACTGATAAAAAATATTCCTTCAGTGCTTCAAGCCAGCACCAAATTAAATTTCTGAGAATTCCATATAAATTCATATTTCTAACAGCACTGAATGTTCACTTCATTTTGATGATTGAACAACAGGCTTCCTCCTCATCAGCTGCAACTCGGGGCGACTTTAGACGCTGCAGCTCTTCATCTCTTTTCGTCTCTCAGAGCACCGTCAGGCCCTCGATGCCTGGCTGCAACTACACATCAAAGATGTTTTGCCTGTGACTCTTAGTATTGACATCAAGTTTTTTTATTCTACAGGACTAGTTTTAATCTACATGTGTTTTTCCTGAGGAACCAGGGAGACACACGAGTCGAGTCCAGAGAATCTGATTTTGTGGTTTCCTTACCTTCAAGTGATTCTGAGGAAAAAGGGTCCATCTGACCCCTGACCTCCTTTATGCCTGGAGTTCCAGGATGCATCATTTCGCTTGAATTAACTCCTAAGGTCAAAGTGTAAAAGCAAAGTGGCTACAGCTGTGAGGAGGCATATCCAAATATTATTTTATATGACACTCCAACAGAAAAGCAAAGGCCACACAGTGGCATCAGATTCATGGGCAGAAATGAACAAAGTGGACTGTCGGGATGTGCTGCGTCAAAGTTAACTGAAACTTACTTTAGATTTCGTCGCCTCTCTTATTGTTCTGGGATAGTTATGAAGCTTTTCAGATAAGTGAAGAGACATCTTACAAGAAATCCACATAGGCAGCTAAAACTTGGATGAGTTTTGGTTGGACCCAGTCAGATCTGTGACCTGACGTACACGAATACGTTTTCTAACAATAAACAGAGCAATAGGCAGCAAAAAGGAGTCACACTTGAAACTTTTGTGCTTCAAAATTTTACTTATTTTCAACTTCAGCTAAAAACAGTGAATTGGTATTTTAGCTAAAATAACCTGGAATGAGGAGACAGTTTAGAAATGAAGCCCCTTAGGATTTAAGCCACCAGCCTTAAGGAGGCTTAATTAGGTTTAATTAGGTCCGGTTTGAATTGGAGCCCAGCAAAATGACATCCTAGGTACCAATCAAGCTTCCAACAGGTGTCAACAAAGTCACTGCTTCATCAGTTTTCAGTTGAGGTCAGCAGTTCATTCTCTGTTTTCTGTCCTGTCGTCCTCCAGCCACAGAGATCTGAAGCCTGAGAACTTGTTGTTAGATGAGAAGAACAACATCAGGATAGCGGACTTTGGCATGGCGTCGCTGCAGGTCGGGGACAGTCTGCTGGAGACCAGCTGCGGGTGAGTTCACAACTAGTAAATCCCAGGAGTTTAAGTCCTAGAAATCATTTAATTACTACACTGGGGGCCCTTTCTAAAGACTAGCATTCAGTTCCATTCAGTTATATTTGTACAGCACCAAATCACAACAAAAATCATCTAGACCTTACATTATTATTATTATTATTATTATTACTTCCCTTATTAATAATATTTTAGCAACATAAATATTGAAGAGATAACATTTTCATTATTACTTTTCTAAATGTACCTAAGGGTGACACATTGTAGACAATTTATTTTATTATTTCTGCACACACCTCCTCTGTGTCCACCCCGTGTCTTATCTCAGAAGTGCTAAAGACGTCAGCTGGACTTGCTTGAGGCTCTTGAAGACGTTTTATCTCTCCTCCGAGAAGCATCTTCAGTTCTGACTTCAGTTTGTCAGTGAGTCCAGTTGACAACCTTAGCACTTCAAGTATACTAACACCTGGATGACAGAGAAGCTGCGCAGATGTCCTGTATCCTCTTTTATCTTGACTGTCTTCAAGTCGACCGCCACACATAGCTCTGCAGATTTTTGCAGTTCTGCAGAGAGCAAGGATTAGTTGGGTCGACTCTACATGAATGGTAAAGTCTCAAATCAAGATCCGCTTGTGTCTTTGTCTTTAAGCTGAATCATAGAGGCCTGTGCTTCAGTTAGCGTGTGCATTTTTAAAACTCCAGGATTTTGAGCACTGCTGACTTCTGACCCATGTTGACTTACAAGTTGAGCTCGAAACTGTTTATCTAACACAGAACAAAGGCCTCCGAAGACTCCGGGTTCACCACAGGGCAGTTTGTTTGTTGTAAATGAATCCACTGCATATGTGTATGTTTGTTTTTCCTAATCTTGAGGTCCCGTCATGTAAAGGTTCGATATTAGGGCCTTTATGGTTTCCATTTATAATGTGTGTACATGGTGCATTTTACTACATAACTGTGTTTATGAGGTCTTTACAGACCCACATCTGTTTTTTTTTCTCCCCCAAGCTCATATTTATCTCAGTTTTACCCTGACACCACAAATTTTTTAGCCTTAATGGGTGTTTCCAAATGTACACAGACACACAGCACAGCATTATGGCTTGTGCTGATGCAAAGCGGTGCCCGTGTCCGGATCTGTCATATGTCTTCAACACTCCACTGATGCAGGCAGCGTCTATGCAGAACCACTGATGGACCCTGTGAATGTCTCACACGAGTAACAAGTCAAATGACTCTTCACTTTATGTGACGTTAATGGAATTTATTAACTGTCGCTCAGCAATGACCACGGACAAGTCGACACAAGCAGGAGGGACGAAATTAACTGTGGGGTGATTAGATTGCACTTGGTGTATTTTAATATGACTCGGTTTGAGTAGTTACACCGACTGGTTTCACATACATTAGTGTGATGAAGTGTGATGCTAGTGATGATGGAGTGTGTGTTTTCTCTGTTTGTTTAGTGCAAAGTTTTGATGAAACGCAGTTAGAGACGTGATGCTCTGATTCATCTGCTGTGAGTGATGCACACAGAGGACGACCAGACGGGTGTTGTCGCTGCTGCGTGAGTTCGATCATTCAGGCGATGCAGATGCTGAGCGCACAGATCAGAGAAGTCTGGCTCTTCCTAATATGTGTAGAAGAAAATCAGATCCTGGTTCCAACAGAACAGCTGACCTGTGATCGTACCAGTTTTTTCCTCGATAGTACTGCTGCTTTTGGCTTAAGGACCATGCTAGTGGTTTGGTGTCATAGATCAGTCACTGCTCCAGTTTGCACTTCTTTCTATTGGCTCTCTGTCACCGATGGGATTGATTTCTTGACATGCAAGGCTCTGCGTGTTCGGGCTCATGTACTTAAAGGGCTGTTGTGTGGAGGAGCAGATACTTGTGGCTGCTCCAAGGCTGAAAACTGAAAGTGATTGTGCAGCTGAACTCTTTATTAATATAATAAAACCCTTATATTTCTTAGATTGTTTTTGTTTTGTATTTGTATCTCGATGCTGTGCCGTTTGTACACCTCATCTTCCTATTTTAGTTTATTCACTAAATGAATGAATACTGTGCTCGTCCTACATCCTGTCGAGTTTGTATACATATTTGTTAAAATGGCAAATATGTAGTGCAGTTTTCAAATCAGTGTACATTTAACCTACGTTATATTAGCTCAAGCAACGAAAAGCTGTTTTCACAGTGATACGTCTGTAATGGTGCAACAATATCACAGTGATGGACCACTTGCCTGAGTTCGGAGTAACAACATTTGGCAGAAACCACTTTACCGAAAGGGCATTTCAGATGCAGAACTTTTTACTTGTAATCCAGTATTTCTACTTTGTTGCATTACTGCTTTTATTTACAGTACATGTGATTACTACTGTAAAAATACTGCTAATGTCACATCTTCAAAAAATAGTTGTCATCGTTACATTATCATTCATTCATTCATTTTCTACCGCTTAGTCCCTGAACGGGGTCACGGGGGGAGGCCGGAGCCAATCCTGGCCGGCAATCGGGCGAAGGCGGGGTACACCCTGGACAGGTCGCCAATCCATCGCAGGGCTAACACATAGACGAACAACCACACACACGCACTCCTATGGGCAATTTAGAGACACCAATCAACCTAAGCTGCATGTCTTTGGACTGTGGGAGGAAGCCGGAGTACCCGGAGAGAACCCACGCAAGCACAGGGAGAACATGCAGACTCCAACTAACTCCGTTACATTATCAGTGCATGTTAATTACTTTATATCCTGTTGGGTCAAATGTACAAAGGCGAGTAAAATGTCGTTAACTATACACATAAACTAGCACATACTTATATTAAGTACCTACAAAAGGTTTTTAACTACATTATCTGAGTAAATGTACTTTAATTACTAAGATGCGCTGCATTATTTTGAATACTCTATGGAAATGAATGGAAATCACTGGCTGACTTGTACAATGGGAAAATCTAAAAATCCAGAACATTACAACGGAAGGAGGATCTGTGATTAAGGACTGAACGTCTGCTGCTGCGCTAATGCACGTTATCCAACAGGATGAGCCAGCATCACAGGAGTTTGGACTGGGGCCATTTCATGTTGTGTAAGATTCATTTAGCTCTCAAAAACTAATCCACATCAGGCAAGGAAGGCTTTTATTTGGCTGGACTTTGGCTGGAGTGGTTTATGTTTCATCAGAGCATTATGTCAGTCGGTGTGCTGGTTGTGCGTGCTGCCTGTGTAGTGTGTGTGTGTGTGTGTGTGTGTGTGTGTGTGTAGTGTCCTTTCCAGCGTAACCGCCTCTTTGCTTCTCTTACAGATCTCCGCACTATGCCTGCCCAGAGGTTATCAGGGTAAGCACTCTCTCCTGCTCTTTCTGCTTGTTTCTTTCATGCAGTGACAGCAGCTCCGACCACAAAGGCCCCTACATCGCTGCCCCTACATCGCTGCCCCTACATCGCTGTTCCATCCTCTCTGCATTAGCTAGGCTCACATCCTAACCCCCACACCTTGCTGGGTTGTAATACATTTCACAATCCACAGTTTATAAGTGACTTCTTTGTTTTTGTCAAAAACTGACCAAACCTAAATGACACAGCTTTCTTATTCTTTTTCTTTTTTTGCAAATAAGAGCACAGGTGCAGTTTTACCTTTGACGGGACATTTTTGTCAGACAACCAGTATCCATGGTTGTGTGTGCGCGCACCTTTTTCTCACATAGGCACAGAAAGAACTTGACGCTGCATGTTTATTCCTAAAACAGCACTTGTACCCTGTGACATTTAATCATATCTCACACTGAATTTTATAAATATACAGTGATGTGCAAAGGTTTTAGGGTGTAACGTGAGGATGCTTTCATCAATAGTTCTGTAATAATTTTGGTCAGTCAGCTTCATCCTTAGTGCATTAAAGACATAAAACCCAAATCAGATCAATATATGATAACAAGCTATTATGAAATTATTCAAAATGTGTTAAGGGATAATTCATAAGTGCCTTGGCACTGTAAATCCCAGAATTCCATACTTCTATGTTTGCAGGATATTTTCAGAAACACAGGAAACAACGAGCTGACAGACAGTGGATGAGACAGGTCGGGCACACCAGAAACAGAAAGTCAAGCACTTCATCCCAAAATAACTCCTGCAGTACAGTCAGCAGCACATACTACTGGTGTCGCACTGTAGGAACATCCATATATGGGTGGATTTTTCCATTAAGTCAGATGCCAAGGCTCTGAGCATCAGGGTGATTTGCAGCTTGGGAAACTGTTGCAGAATGAATGTTGTGCACATTTCTGCTGGAGTGTATTGTGAGTGTCTCTCTGTCTGCATCAGGGGGAGAAGTACGACGGCAGGAAGGCAGATGCGTGGAGCTGTGGAGTCATCCTGTTTGCACTGTTAGTGGTGAGTGACGACTGCTGCTGCACCACAACAGCAGAAAATAAACCTCCCTTGTTCCTTAATGTGGAAGTATGCACAGAAACAGACTTTACACTGACCTGCTGAGATGATTTAGCACAGTCATTCATTAAACAAGGAGTTTACCTCTGAACACCGTGGTAACACGGCTCACATTCAAGTCTGGCTCAGAACCATTATCACGTTCCTTGAACCTCTGCACCACTACTTTTACTAACTTAATCTGTTGGAAGTAACCTAACTGCTTATCCCACGATTAGCTGCACCAACTTTTCTTTGGAGCTTGTAAGGTTAAGACCCACTCCCAATGTATGAGCCAATTTGTACACAGTCTGCTGCCACAGGCGAAGCTGCTCACGCTCCTGGTTTGATGCAGTGTTGCAGAGGAAAGACGGGAAAAATAGGAGGAGACATTAGTTTGTTCCTGAGGCAGGTATTTATGCTGAATTAACTGTCTATTTGTGAAGCACAGATTCCCAGTAGCATCTGAAATTGTAGAGAAAGGTGACATCTTCCAACACCTGGCAACAGCACTTCTCCAGAAAAGGAAAGGTTAACATCTAAATTCACTTTTGCTAATATTAACACTGAAGGTCACACCTGGCTTTCAACGTGCTGTTGTTTGTTCTGGGAAACGTGTGTCTGTGTGAGAAAAACAGTGGATGCTGAAATGCCATGAAATTTCTTGCTTGAGGCTGGTGTTTGGTGCCTTCAGTCTGAGGTTTACACCAGGTGGGATTAAATTAAAGATGGGCTGCTGGAAGCACGTTGTGTACCAATAAAAAATTGAAACCACATTATAAATGAATGGAGTAGAGAAGTAAAGCTCTGCTGCCTCCAAACTGTCAGAATGTGGTCGCCTTTCCACTGAAATTTGAGTAATTAGACAAAAAAACAGAAATCAGATCAACAGTATTGTAGAGACAGTTCACACTTCACCAGTTTACTCTGCTGCCCATCCAAAAATGAATCTGAGAAACATCCATGTGTCTTTTAGCATTCCTAAAAAAAACGATACTGGATGTTGACTGTGGTACCTGTCGGCACACTAGTGCTGATGGCAGAGCCCACTGGTATGTCAGCAGCTACTGGGTGGATTTCCAAAGGGTGAATCCCACTGGTACTGGTGATCTCTTGGCTTTTCATCCAGTGCTACCAACATGTGAACATCTCCATTTGTCTGAGGCTTCAGTTCATGACAGGATTCTTTGAACTGACTTCCTGCCAAATACAAACATCCAGACCACGTCTGTTATGTAGGTAGCTTGGTACTGCTGGCACGTCTGATTTGACCAAAGTGCAAAAGCACTGTTAATTTTCTACCAGTGAACTGACTCATGGCTGTAGCTCTAGGTCACTGAATGGCTTCATGAGGATGACACAGTGGGTTGGACACAGTGAGGGGATCTGGTTTGGAAGGACGAGGTTTCCTCCTCCGACAGAGGAGACCTGACGCTGCTCTGGAGACTCAGCCCTGTTGAGGCTCTGCTGGCCGCTGGGTGGTGGTGGTTTGCCATCTCCTGTGACACCCAGCTGAAAGTATACTAGTCTTAAATGCTGGTGTGTGTGAACACAGTAATCAGCACACTTGGTTAAAACACAAAAAGTGTCCACAGACTCCTCAGCTAGATTGAGAACTTCCCTAATTTGATTTAAAAATGCTGAAACCTTGAAAACAACAAGGTGGCATTTAACCACAGGGATTTCCAGACACCACTCCACCTCCTCGGTGCGAATGTCTTCACCAGAAAAACCACAGCGTCAGTCATTTGTTCACACAACAAAGGCTTTTCATAGCAGCAGCTCTGTAATGTGACAGTGACAAGAGAGTAGTGAGAGAACCGGCCAAATTAGTTTGTGTACTCTGTGCATGTGTGCATGTTCTTCTCTTGATGCAGACAGCGCATCATGTGAGGATAAATCTCTCTTCACCGGTGTTGTTGCAATTACCCACGCACTGTCAGTAGCCATCTGGCTTTGTCCTGCTTGTTCTCAATGAGGACAGAACTGGATCAGTCATTACGTCACTGAGCACGCTCCCCAGCTGGAGCAGAGGCAGAGCCGGCGTTGTCATCGCTGACTCTGAACTCTCTCACAGACGGCCTCCACTGCATCATCTATCAGTGGACAGCTGACACTGACATGACAGCAGGAGGGCGTAGTATGTTGTGTTGAAAGGGCAACTCGAGGCATGTGTCATGGTCTTATATCTCCCACTTGTATGGCGTTTTGTCCCGCAAGCACCAGGGTTTAAGATCTCTCGAAAACTACTGGGATGATTACCATAGAATTAAGTACCGGTGTAAATATAAGATATTAACATGTAACAAGCAGTTTGCCATGAAATTTAATGAGAACCTGAGACAACCTGTGTTTGAACCCCATCTTTAGGCACCACCTACACTGGGACAAACTACAGGTGTAGCCCCACAGAGTGGGGAGTCACACGGTTAAGGTGAAACAGGGAAATTAGGACCAACACTTGGGTTCTCTTGGTTTCTCTTCCCTCAGTGGTCAGCATTGTCATGACAGCTTGGTGTAGAGTTCACCAAAGATGATACCAGTTCACACGCAAAATGTTCATGTTTGCTTTCTCTGATACGTTTTGGTGCAACTTTAACACAGGCAACAGAAAGAAGGTGTGGGCTGAAAATGGCCTGCTGTAGGAAATGTAGATGAAACATTTGAGAAGGAACATAACGCAGTATGGTATAGTACTGGATGTCTGAACAAGCAGATGTTCAGTAAAGTGCATCTCTGCAGTTTGATGACTTCACTTCCTCTCCTGTTCCTCCAGGGCGCTCTGCCCTTTGATGACGACAACCTGAGGAATCTTCTGGAGAAGGTGAAGCTGGGGGTTTTCCACATGCCCCACTTCATCCCCCCAGACTGTCAGAACCTTCTGCGTGGCATGATTGAAGTGGACGCCAGCAAGAGGCTCACGGTAAGCTCCTGCACACCCCTTCCCCCCCGACCAGCTGGCCCGGCTGCAGAACAGCAGCAGGCTGAACTCTTCCATCAGCAGACTCGAGTTGGTTTGTACTTCTGGGCTGTTGCTGTAGGGACAGCTGAAGCTAAATTAGCAAAACTGCACCATGGCTGGCCTGCAGCTACCATGCTCTGCATCAGCCCATTTCATGTCGGGCCAAGGATTTGTTTTGGCTCAGAATAGAGACGTTATAAACATAACAGATTCTAGTAGATAGCATGCTCTCACTTTCATTTTGTCTGCAGTTGGTTTGAGCAACATACCACTGCTGAGCAGCCTTCAAACTGGACTTCCTCTTTCTTTGTTCATCTTTATGCAGACACCGTGTAACAACAGACCAACACCAACCCAGCATCTTGTACTTTTTGAACTCAGAGATATTTCCACACTCACATTCACAGCACAGACAGTTTTTAGAGCTGCCCTTTCACCTAAACTACACGCAGTGCATCCACAGGAAAGCCGCACTAAGCCAGGGGAGGTTTGAGCTCAGACCCTTGGAGCCATGGCGCCGCCCCTCTTCAAGGCCCCATTAATGAAAATGATCTTGTTCTCCCACTGTTGTCAGATTTCTGTGGAAGACTGTAGATACATTCAGATGGCAGGTGTTTTTATAATTTAGTCCACCTCATTTATTTTATATCAGTGAGGCCAGGCTAATAAACAGAAACCCTTTTCTGTGGAACACAGTGCAGCTGACAGCAGCACAAACTCCAACCTCCACCATGATCATATAAATAAACAGTTTGAACACAAACCGAACATTCTCGCCTTCTGTCATTATCACTGTTGGATTAGATTGGGCCTAGTCTACAAAGTGAGATCCACCTGCAGATCCACCTTTTCCCTGAGGCCGACCCTACTGGCACCAGTGACGGGTTGGTTGTGGCTGAGTGTTGTTGCTCCTTGTGTTTAGCCTCACAGGTGCCAGTTCCTCCATCTTGTTTGTTTCATTATCAGATAGAAGGGTAATAATGTTTTCTTCCTCTTCTAATTTCTTTACAGTTAGAGCAGATCCAGAAGCACGCATGGTACCTGTAAGTATATGCTCCTGTCCATGTCTTCCTGTTTGTGTCTGTCTGTATGCATGTGTGGTTTAAATGAGATGATGGAAGAAAAGTGCAGCAGCACATAATGCTGAATAATAATACACTCATCAAAGTCAGGTTTGGAAACACCTCAGAGGCGAAGCAGGTCCATTAGTCAGGTCAAACATCACGGCGCTGCATCATTCCACACGGACTGCTCTCTAATGGATTTACTGTTTCTGGTTTTCAAACAGCCTAATTTTGTTATTGATTTGAAATTACACTCCACACCAAAAATAAGCAAACTGATCTGGCCTTTAAATGTTGCATATCAGTCTGTGCTGTTCACTGGCAGAGTGAGATTTCTGTTAACCAGTCCATCACAGTTTGGGTCTTGTTTTTTTTGTTTTGTCCATCACCGTTCTCACCACAGTAGGAGCTGAGACCCCAGAGAACACAGGAAACAGTGACGTAGATGCTACCACATTTCTATTTTAAGCTATAAAGAAGGCAAGTTGTTGCACAGTGTGAAGTTTACTGTGCATAAGCATCATGTGTAAATGCTCCTACTTCTCGTTCAAGTTATTACGCTTGACTGCTTGCGTATTGGGATGTCTTGTGCAGTACATCTCCCCTCAGGTCAGAGCTGCCCAGTGTTCTCTGTTTGAGGCTTTTTCCACCTTACCACAGTTTAAATTTTAAGGGAAAGTGAATGAATACAGTATGTACTGTAGTTCTTAAAAAAAAGATCACAGTTCAGTATTAAAAGCTGCCAGGGATTAGCACCTTCGTTTCCCTGTGTGTGCCACTTTGTTCTTGTCAGTTAGTTGTACTGTATGTGTTGTGTTGCAGAGCTGGAAAGAATGAGCCTGAGCCTGAGCAGCCCGTCCCCAGGAAGGTGGCCATCAGGACTCTGGCTTCAGCCGAGGAGATCGACCCTGACGTCCTGGAGAGCATGCACTCTCTGGGCTGCTTCAGGGACAAGGACAAACTGACCAAAGACCTGCTGTCTGAGGAGTGAGTGAGGAGGAGGACGAGCAGGGGAGGAGGGGTGGAGGGGGCAAAGGGGTGATAAAACCTCAGAGGAAGTGGATTAAAATGAGAGTGGGAGGGTGAAGGAGCCGACGAGAGGGGCAGAGAAATATGAGACGGCAGGGAGTTTGTCAGTTTGATGAATTCTTCTATTTAATATGTCGTGATGATGGAGCGTCTTACTGTGCGGCTCATAACCAGTGGGCACTGAGCTGATGGCAAACACCGTCTGTCCTCTCTTTCCAGTGACAACCAGGAAAAGATGATCTACTTCCTCCTTCTGGACCGTAAGGAGAGATATCCGAGCCATGAGGACCAGAACCTCCCGCCACAGAATGAGATTGGTAGGCCCGTCCAGCTGGACTCCACACCTTGGACAAAGCAATGTGTTACATTTGACCTCTAGGACAGTCTGTGTGTACTTGTAATTGTGTGTCTGTGTGGGGTCTGGGGAATGAACACACACACAGAAGCATTACCTTGACCTCTTTGGGTTAGGACATTTGTTCCATGTATAACCCTCCAGATGAAATGAATGCGTGACATTTGAGATAAAAACCCAGCATCTTTTCTTCACTTGCTGATGGGGCGACATTCCCTTTGTCAGCAGACCCTCCCAGGAAGCGCGTGGACTCACCCATGCTGAGCCGTCACGGGAAGCGGAGACCAGAGAGGAAGTCCATGGAGGTGCTGAGTGTCACGGAAGGAGGGTCTCCTGTGCCTGTACGACGAGCCATCGACATGGCAACCCACGGTCAGAGGTAAGAGTCAGAGATCTGCACGTGTGTCCGAGAGCATGGGCCAACATGTTTGACACACACAGGTCACGAGAGTGTAAGTGATGGATATTGTTATCAGCTATGATAAGTAATGTATTTAACCCCAGTTCAGCAACGTGAGGGAAGGAGGTGCAGCTCAGCAGCAAATTGATGTGACATACAACCTGAGCTCAGTTCTACACTTCAGCGAGCTCTGTCAGGTTCACTGTGAGGTTTGTCCACAGCTGTAAATCCTTTCCTCCTTCACTGAACTGCGGTCAAATACATGACACCTCGTTCTGTCTCTGTCGTACAGGATGTACAGTGCATACCATGCAAGACGTGACATAAGCGCCTGTTTCAGACACCAGAGTCCAACCGTGTGCTCTTAGCCCTGGTGGTAAATCCTAACAACTGTTAAAATGCATGAACAGGAGCTTCAGGCTTGTGCGTCGTGTGTGAAGTGTGCATGGAGCATGCAGTCAAAGAGGAGAAGGAGCATCCCTGTTTAAGAGGCTGTAAACCTGAAATGTGTTTGGCCAGTTTGTGCAGATGTTTGTACTGTGGGACCAAAGAGAGATGTGATGTGAACAGTCGGCGTCTGAGAAATGACTAAAGCTGCATCCAGTGGAAAAATAAACTATTAACTACCGTATAAACCCAAGAAGTAAACGTGGACACGTTCTGCACAGTCAGTGGATGTAATCGATAAAGCAGAGGGAACACCACTGTTAGAAGGAAGTGCTACAAGGTTCATGTCGACATTCTGTGACTTTTTTTATTATAAAACAATTTGTACAAATCAAGTTGTGACCTTACAAAGCTTGTCTAAGATCATTATGCAAGTTTCATCAGCAGCTGCAAATGCAAAAACTAATCTACTGAGGTTGGACTGGAGTTTCTCGACCACAACGATGCTCCCTTGTTCCTTTTCTGTGGGTGAACTGCTTCTCAATGCATTATGGGATAGTAGGTGACACGGGAGAGAGAGGGATTTGAGAGGTGAAATATTTTTACTTCTGTGAATTGGGGTGAAATTTGAATAGAATGGACAAAGTTTGGACAAATGTTTGTGCAGGAGAAGGTCTTTATTGTGGTTTCTGGGATTTGTGGTCTCAGGTCCCCATAGGCTCCAAGATTACTGATAAAACAAAATGTAGGTGCTATTTGCAATGAAGTCTCATGTACTTCACTGTACAAACAGCTAGCGGGTGTTAGCCTTAATATTTTTTAAACGAACAGCATTTAAACTAAAGATGTGCCTGTAACTGAGCTCATCTTTGACGTCGAGTTATGTTGACGTGTGTTCTTTGTTTGGGGTCTGCGGGAAAACATTCATCCCATAATAACCTATCTTCAATTAACTTACATTATATTTTCTTACTTAGTGTAATTAGATGCATTTTACAGTCAAACTCTTTATCAAGTCAACCTTTATTTGCGCCTTCACACAGGCTCATGCAGTTCAGTGCTCGTCAGATGACTGAGGAAAGGCAGAACAAATGTGAGCATTAAAAATATCCACACAATTTAAATAATTTTATATCCAGCAGTAAATGCTAAATAAAAGATAACCAAAGATTGATTGATTGATTGATTTATTCTTTCAAACATGCAGAACAGAACAGAACAATGAACAAATGACAATAACACACATGATTACACACATCCAACCAATGCTAATTCAAAATCAGTTTGCTTACACCTATTACATGTTTGAATGGAGTAGGAAGAAGTCAAACTTATCCAGTCCTACCCCATGACATCATATTATACAAAATTTATGCAACATTGGCTGCAAGCAATATCAAGATAAAAATAAAACAGGAAAAAAATAAAAGCATGACGTTATATCACATAAAAGCCACCGGCTGCAGGTTTCCCCCCAGATGTTGTCAAGGTTCAG